TTAAAAAAACAAAATAACATTTGTATATATTTTTTTTAGAATGTGGAGGCAAGATGCATTTAAGGGAAGGTGAATTTGAAAGAGCTCATACTGACTTTTTCGAAGCCTTTAAAAATTACGACGAGTCTGGTTCGCCAAGACGTACAACATGTCTAAAGTACTTAGTTTTGGCCAATATGTAAGTATTATCTTTTGTTGTCTATAATTATGGTCTATAATATTGTATTCATACAATTGATATATTTATAATTGCATTCTTAGGTTAATGAAGTCTGGTATTAATCCATTTGATTCACAAGAGGCAAAACCATACAAGAACGATCCTGAAATTTTAGCAATGACGAATTTAGTCGTCAGTTATCAGAATAATGATATTAATCAGTTTGAATTAATCCTTAAACAAAATAGAAACAATATTATGGGTGATCCCTTTATTAGAGAACACATCGAGGATTTATTACGGAATATACGTACACAGGTATATCTTTTATAAAATATGTTTTGTAATTTATTAAAATATCTAAAACCTAAATTGATACACTCTGTTTATCGAGCGATATCAATGTAGTATATTGATAGTTTATTAATATGTACAATTGTTTTAGGTTCTAATCAAGTTGATAAGACCATATACTAGAATTTATATTCCTTTCATAAGCAAAGAATTGAACATTGATGTTTCTGAAGTGGAAAGTCTCCTGGTATCTTGTATTTTGGACAATACTATTCATGGTCGTATCGATCAGGTGATATTTTTGTTCTATTTACAATTGAGTTTTAATTATACCATAAATTCAGTTGTTATATTCTTTACAGGTAAATCAAGTTCTTGAGTTGGATAAGAAATCGGTATGCGCCGCGCGTTATAATGCTCTTGATAAATGGGCAGGTCAATTGCAATCTTTGCATACAGCTATTGTAAACAAAATGTCTTAAGTATGGTGCACATGATCCTGCAATAAATACAATCTAATCTCACTTTGTGTATAGTATATCATAAAAATTCTATACAAATATGTGAAAAAATGAAATCTATTGTGATATAATAAATTTAGCATTTTAGCACGAGAGTTTTATTCATTTCCATTAAATAAATTTTATTTTAAATAAATTGAATTAACGAAAATCGATGTAAAAGAATATATATAGGATTCAACATGAGAATTTTTTGATAATTAGATAAAAAATTGATCTAATAATTCTCACTATTCTGATAATTTCAGAGTGTTTTATTTATTTCTAGTATATATAGATTATCTAATATATATTTACACATAAAATATTTTTCAGCAGGCAATATTTTAATATTAGATTTTTAATATTATTGAATCATGGTACAATCATCTGTGAATGCCTGAATATGTATATAGTTAGATTTATGTGTTCTAAGATTCTCCAAAAATGTATAAATGATTTCATTGAAAAAAAAAAAATAGATATAAACATAAATTGTACAAAAAAATTTTTATGTTAACTTTTACAAACTCCGTCGTCCTTCAATTATATTGATAATTAATAATAGATAATTGAAATAGCAAAACAATTCTATAATAGAAAATAGTTTTTTTAAAACAATTTTTTTAAAAATATTGGAGAATGTTGAATCGATCGCAAACTACATATTAATAGAATTTTATCGTCTATGAATTATACGGAGCACATATACAGTTTGGATAATATTGATAATTAGAACTTTTGGCTGAGGGTCTGCTGTCATCGCAAAATTATGTGAAGTCAAGTTTGGCTTCAGCTTGAACGGGATATGGCTCGATTCAGTCGGGACAATTTAACTGACGGCGAGAATGTAGACGCTGCAGAATCTCTCCTGCAGATATCGTGCGGACAGGGAGCGCAGGAAGGAGGATAGGATATATGCGAGATGCCGTTGTTCTACGTTTCCACCCTGTGCTCTGTCTGCCACGGTGCCGTTCATTACCACTTCTCGCACGTTCGTACGCTTAAGTAAATCCCGAGGGGAACTAACAAACCTTGGCCCAAACGCGCGATGTATATGTATCTTTCACGGAGTAATTCTACGCTTGGTTATCGGTGACTCGATTGCGAAGCGTTCCATGCGACTGTAATGACGATAGTGGAATTGATTTTAAATTCATTCTTAACAAGAAAAAGAATGCGTAAGAGATTTAATTTCTGCGATTTAATTAAAAGAATATCAAATCTCGGTGCAATAGTATATTTGTGTCAAAAAAATATTTTGTTGATTCCATATAAGTATGTTATATTTAGATATTCATTTAATTAAATGTATAGACTCTTGCCTATAGTTTATTAAAGTAGCAGCTATTTTGAACTAATTATACAGTCAGATTTTAGTCAAATGAATTCGACTTTATTCAAATATGAAGATATTTCAGTAATACGTATAAAATACGTATAAAATTATATAAAACAGCTATTATACTTGTTATAATAAATATTTAGTTAAAAGAAATCAATATCTATTTATTAGATACAAAAGATAACTTTTGTTAAAGTTTAGATAATTTTTGATATCACATTCGATAAAATAAATGTTTTTCTCTATAAACGTAAATATTTAATTAAATGAAATGTTATTTAATTTGTTAACACGAATTAGATATCTAATCTGAAGACTATAAATATGTTTATACAATTTTATATACACTAAGAAAAAAATTTTAAACAAAAAATATTTTTTTATTCAACTATATGCAGAGATCACAGGCTGCCAAGCAAATATTTGTTAATCTAAAAAAAAAAAAATATCAAATTTTAATAGACGCAGGAAATTTAGGCCAAAACAATTTTTCATTGACTCAACAGATTTATATTTAAGTATACGCATAACTAAATAAAGATGTATAGAGAAACTTATAGGAAAGTTAGATTCTGTACGTTACGTTTTGTAAAATGGATTGAAGTGTAAAAAAAAAGGAAAGCAATCTGTATGCCATCGTTCAAGTCTTTGAAGTCCATATAAAACTGAATTAATTCCATTTCAGAATTTGATTGCAACATATGCAACACATCTAAAGGTGACATCGCAAGCGAATACGCAATGGCACACAGCCTGGTATGAATATCGCAAAAGCAGCCGATTTTGCGCCGAGTGTTAGAACCGCCGGTGCTTCTTACACGCACCATGTGGTGCTTAAACGACAGTCTGCTCAGCAGCCAGTTCCCTATAGATATTTTTCTAACATCCCTCCATCCCCATACGTGCAGCCTATACTTTGGTGAGCGCGCGCTCGCACGCCGCGCAAATTGTTAATTACCGACCATTAGCCTATTAGAGGCGCGTTCGATTTAATTAGCTTGAGACTAATTTTATTGCTCTCTCGTTAGCATGCCACGGTCGTATGAGGTTGACCCTTTTTCACTGCGGCCCCGACCACGTACGTGCATATTACGCACGTGACGCGTGGAAGCGCGCCGTGTACTCGCCATAATTTATGTTACTGCAAAACATTAAATTTCATTACATTGTTCCGTGCCGTTAGAATCTTTTTACGTTAAATTTTCGACGCAAAGTGCGCGCCATACGGAATTATTTTCTTTCATTACATATTCTTGATCGCGGGACTATTTATTTGATACAAAAGATAACTTTTGTTAAAGTTCAAATAATCTTTGATATCACATTCGATAAAATAAATGTTTTTCTCTATCAATGTAAATATTTAGTTAAATGAAATGTTATTTAATTTGTTAACACAAATCAGATATTTAATCTAAAGACTATAAATATGTTTACACAATTTTATATACACTAAAAAAAAATTTTAAACAAAAAAATATTTTCTTATGTCTCAATTGGAAAAATTTCAAAATTCTGAATTTTTAGTTTTATAACAACAAATAGATTTGTATAGCGGAAATAGATTCGATTTTTAATTAAATCTTATTACTTTTTCCCGCAATTTAGCCAGATATTTTTCATATCGGGAATGACAGGCGTATTTGAAATATCATCTATATTTGCATTTGTAGCGGCGCATATGAAATATGAATATAACTGTTTCAGTGTAATTAAGTGCCAATCTTGAAATGGATTTGCAATCAAGTATATTCACATAGATTTCACGGGCAATTGTCAACGCTCGTAAACTATCTGCTAAATTTGTTTACGCCAGTCACAAGCTATTTATTGTCGATGTTAGTTACTTTATCAAACTCTCGACAGAATTGCTAACCCAAATACAGAGAATATATTCTAGCAAATAATGACACCGGCACAAACCAAAAACAGAGTAAAATGTGCAAATTATTAAATTTGTTCAAATTGATGCTTATCGATTAAATAATAAATATCTGTTACTATTACTGGCGACTATCGATATAATAACAATTATTCAAACAACGATACGCAGATATAATTTAATTACTGCATACACTGAAATTAAAACAATTTTTTTACAAACATGTGATAATTAAAAAGAACAACATACATACGGATGCTCATTGAAATGTATATCAGTAAAACATATGGTATGTTAAAATAAATACAACGGATAATATATGAAATAGTCCGTGAAAATAGAAAGCAAAATTTTTTCAAAAAACTTGGACTTAATTTTTCTATAATAGAAATGTTACAAGTTTAAATTAAAAATAATTAAAGTATTAAAAAGACATTAAAATATAGCATCAAATTATAAAACGAAATTGTATCTCTTGTCTTCAAATAGATTTGTAACGAAATTAAAAGTTTCGAAGAAACTGCTCAAAATTGTATTGCTAAATAAATGAATAAGTTTAATTTTTCTTAAATCCCTTACGTATTGGTTAAATAATTCGAGCAAATTAGTATACGTCGAGAAACGTAATAATAATTCGAAATTGCCCAGTGAAAAAGTATATTTTGTTGTTTGCTTTTTACAGGACAGATGGTAGAACATAACGTTAATATTGAATGTGACAAAAAAAGGATGGATGCAAATTGTCACTGTATGCTCCGCTTTCTTTTACTGTCGGAAATATGAGCGGAATTATCCATTCCTCGTGGACATACTGTAAATCCTGCGCCTAAGCGTACGACCGCAGAACGGCACGGCTGGTTTCGGCTCCATTTCAAAGCATTGTTATTCAGTCTACGTTTGCGCCTATGTAAATGTTGGTTAAGCCCACGCAGGCTACCAGAGTCCCTTAGGCTTGTCCTATATCATGACTGTGTGGGAGGCTATAATCCCGCTGCCTACGAGTAGTTTCCTCCTTTGCCATGCCACATTTAAGATGATATCTGACGAAGATTTCATTGTCCATCTTCTTCAAAAGCTCGTCCGAAACGCGCGGTTTATAGCAGCGCAGAATTAAGGCATTAATGCATTCAGATACATTTCGTACAGTAGATTTCCACGTATAAATTTAATAATTACGTTTTAATTAATAATAATGACATTAGTAATTTGCGGAATTAGCATTTTGGAATTGAAAATGTCATGAGTAGATATGAAAATGGAAAAGCGATTTTAAAGTTCATAGCATTAAAGCGAAATTTCAAAGAGCAACAATTTTCAGTTTAACGACGTCTACATTTTTTTTATTTAACTTTTAACTTTGATCAATTCTTTTAAATTGACTAAATCTTTTTATATAAAAAAATACTCTCGTTTTCTCTTACACTAAAGACCTTTTCTTCGGAATAAAAGGAAAATGTTCGCTGCGCTGACACGATTCCAGTAAAGACGCTTTTACAAAAAGACTTAAATTACCTTAAAGGGAGTAAATGTAAATGACGTAACTGCACTTAATTAATTAATTAAAATGTAAACAAGCCACACATCGAATAAGAACGTCAAAGGACAGAAGGGACGGTAAAACAAAGTCGCAATTATCCGTAGTAATAGCGGTGAAAAGGACGAAATAAACTGTAACTGCGAAGTAGCCTCGAGACATTTTGCATAATGGCAAGATTACGAAGGGGATGTATGGTCTTCGTCAGAGAGTCGGGCAAAGTCGAGCGAGAAAAAAATCAAGGCTGTACTTAAACATCTCAACGAGACTCCTCTCTCTCTCTCTCTCTCTCTCTCTCTCTCTCTCTCTCT